CTTAAACATGTGAAACACATGTCTCCAAACATGTTTAGATCATTTTTTCAAAACACCTCAAACACATGTTTCATTCAGTGGTAGGATTGTCAGAGTGTCCATAGCCATGGCATCCACAATCTTACTGGAACCACTTCTGCCATGCCGGACATTTTTTCCAGGGCCTGGCGAGGGCCTCCCAGAGGCCGAACACGCGGAAGAACTCCCATTTGTTTCTCAAGACGTTGGAGGGGTGGCTTCCCCTTTTGCCGTTTCTGCTCCTCGGGGTCCTCCTCCGCGCCCTCATGCGGCAGCCTCTGGGATTGGCCTCCCATGCATTCGGGGGGAGGCTGTAGCCCAGAGGAGCCTCGGCTCGGCCCCTGTCACCCTCCGGTGCCAGGGAGGGTCCGCCCTCCGTTCGCGGGGTGCGATGCTCTTTGGAGTGAGTCTCCTTGCTCCGCGCGGATGTCTAGGATCCGCGCTGGACCTCTTTCCTTGGCGCGCGGAGCGCGCCAGGGGGCACCAGCGCAGGTCCAAGAAGTCCGCGTGGAGTTCCGGAAAGTTACTGTTGGTGCCATTCTTTCGTTTTCTACAGTCAACCAGTATAGTAAGGGTGCGCGACAAGGATGCAAGGGCCTTGGGCGCCCATCTCGAGGCTTTTCGAGCGGGGCGCGGCCAACGAAAGCGGCCAAGGATGGGCCGAGGAGGCAAGGATGCAAGGGTACCCTTGGGAAGGCTGCCCATCCTTGCTGTGCGGGTTGACTGTATCGCCCTCGCCCTCCCGTGCCCCTGCGGCCGCTCAGGGGGGCAGGGCCTCGCCAGGAGCCGGGGGCCATGCAGGCGGGCTGCCCGCCGAGGAGCGGACCCCCCTTTCCTCCTCCTGCCGCCTCCCCCTCCCTGCAAGAGGGGGAGGCCCCCCTTCCCGTCCCGCAGGAGGACGAGACCCCCCCCCTCCCCTCCTCCTCCTCCTCCTCCTCCTCCTCCTCCTCCTCCTCCTCCTCCTCCCTCCTCCTCCTCCTTCATCCTCCTCCTCCTCCATCTCCTCCTCCTCCTCCTCCTCCCCTCCTCCTCCTCCTCCCATCTCCTCCCTCCTCCTCCTCTCCTCCTCCTCCTCCTCCTCCTCCCTCCTCCTCCCATCTCCTCCCCTCCTCCTCCTTTTCCCATCTCCTCCTCTTCCTCCTCCTCCTCACGCCCCTCTGTCCCCTCCTCGGGCTCGTCCCTCCGGCGGCGCGCGCGGCGGCGCGCGTCGTTTTCCCCCCTGAGCCTGTCTCCCCCCCCCCTGGCGTTGGCCTTGGTCTTCTTCCTCCTGCCTCCTCCTTTCTCCTCCACCTCCTCCTCCTCCTCCTCCTCCGCCTCCCACCTCCTCCCACTTTCCATCTCCGTCTTCCCCCCTTCTCCCCGTCTGCCGAGTCGCCATCTGGACGGAGAGGCGCCGCCTGCTTGGAGCACGCCGCGAGGGGGCGGTGCCCGCGGGCACTGCCCTCGCTCTGCAGATCCGCCAGCTGCCGCCGTAGCCCCGCGCTGTCACTGCACCTGCGCGCTGTTTTCAGTAGCGAAAATATGACCAGTCCTCCCGAGCCCCTCCCCCCAGCACCACTCTCCTCCTCGCAAAGGGGATGAGATCCTCATGAAAATTGGAGAGGGACTGTTTCCGTCGTATCGTGGCCCACCCGTGGCCGCGAGAGAGGCGGCCTCACAGGACGCTGCTGCTACGGCCCTCCCGCCACCCCCTCGGGAAGGATCTGTTGGGGAGAGTGGTGCCGCTCGGTCAACGGAGGCCGTGTCGCGTTCGATGAGCATCTTTCCCGCTCGTCCGACCGGCCCTGGTGCTGTACCGCTCCTGGTGCTGTGCTACCACGCTCCTGGTGTCCGCTCCTGGTGCTGTGCCACCACGCTGGGGCCCGCTCGCGGGCACGGAGGCAGGTGTGCATGTGCTGCCAGGGCCGGATTTTAAGCCCTCTTCTCTTCTCCACGCTCTCGGCAGCTGCAAACTCACGCAGGACGGCAGGGACGCCTTCTGGGCTTCGCGCGGCCTTCCCGCGCCAGCGTCCCACGAAACCGCGACCCAGGCCATTCTTAGTGTCGTTCCTGGCGAGCCTGGCTACCCGCAGGCGGCGTCCCTGGCAAAGACGCTCGAGGAGGCGGCGGGAGCCTTCTGGGGCGCGGGTGACACAAATCATGTGGGCCTCCCTCCTGGGCCTCCCTCCTGTCCTCCATGCCCCTGGCGACGGGTGGAGGAAGAAATCACGGCCCACTTCGTCCTTTCGTAGGTCCGCGCGATTTTCGTGGACCGGCGCCGAGCCCTCTCAGCGGCGCCTGTGGCGCTGCTCCTGGCGCGCTCCGTGCGCCGGTGGGGGTCCAGCGCCGATCCAGAAAATCCGCGCGGACCTCTGGCAGCTCTTGTATGTCGCTGTTTCCGTCCTCGACAATGTGCCGGGCGGCATTGGGATGGGCCTGGTTCGGGTGTGGCCCAGGTTTGGGGCGCCTTCTCCCTCCCCCCTCCCTGTGGTGGAAAAATCCTCCCATCCATTGCCAGAGTCTCTCGCCCTTGCGTCCCCTCGCCGTGCGCTGACAGGTGCAGCGGATGGGGAGTCGGGCAGAGCCCCAAGCGCCGGGCGACCGTACCTTGGAACGGAGGCCCCCGCTTGGCACCTCCCCCATCTGGACGGCCAGGCGGTGCCGCTCCTCTAGCCGCTAACCAGGTGCTGGTTGCAGCAGAGAGCCCCCCCCCCCGTGGTCGTTGCAGGGTCGCCAGCGTTCACCGCCAGGCTCGCGGCCCCATGCTGAAAGACGCCCACGCCCGAGGGTTTCGCATGCCGGCCCGCCGGGGGACTCCATCCATCCATCCATCCATCCATCCATCCATCCATCCATCCATCCATCCATCCATCCATCCATCCATCCATCCATCCATCCATCCATCCATCTCGTCGGAGAGCGGGCTGATTTGACGCCGCTGTTCGAGGACGCCCCACCCGAGGGCGAGGACGCGGCTGCCGCTTTCGTTGCTGCCGCCGCTCGTGTGTTTGATGAGGATGGGGCTGCTCGACTCAGAGCCCAGGGTCGGGGGCTTACACTGCTCATTGCAGCTCGTGTGCGGGGTTGGGCAGTGGCGGTGATGACAGCGGTGACAGAACTTGAAGCCACGTGGCATCGCAGCATGATCCTCCTTCTCCTCTGCCTCCTCCTCCTCCTCCTCCTTCTTCTCTTCCTCCTCCATTCCTTTCCTCAGAAATTACGCTACCGAGGAACCCCACATGCTTATGTTATTTCCCATGTGTGCCATCGGTGCTTCTGCTGCTGCTCCTCCTTCTCCTCCTCGGTGTCCTCCTCCTGCTGCTGCTTCTGCTGCTGCTGCTTCTGCTGCTGCTGCTGCGTCTGCTGCTGCAGCTGCTGCTGCTGCTGCCGCTGCTGCTGCCCCACCTCCCCGTCCTCCTCCTCCTCCTCCTCCTCCTCCTCCTCCTCCTCCTCCTCCTCCTCCTCTACCTCCTCCTCCTCCCTCCCAGCGCACCCCCTGTGGCGTCGAGGACATGCCACGCCAGCCACGCCCTGGGAGCCTGCAGCGCATAGGGCCCCCACCCCCAGCGCACCCCCTGTGGCGGCGAGGAAATGCCACGTCTGCCACGCCCTGGGAGCCTGCAACGCATAGGGCCCCCCACCCCCAGCGCACCCCTTGTGGCGGTGAGGAAATGCCACGCCTGCCACGCCCTGGGAGCCTGCAACGCATAGGGTCCCCACCCCCAACGCACCCCCTGTGGCGTCGAGGAAATGCCACGCCTGCCACGCCCCGCGAGTCTGCAACGCATAGGGCCCCCACCCCCAACGCACCCCCTGTGGCGGCGAGGAAATGCCACGCCTGCCACGCCCTGGGGGCCTGCAGCGCATAGGGCCCCCACCCCAAGCGCACCCCCTGTGGCGTCGAAGGAATGCCCTGTGTGCTATGCTGTGCTGTGCTGTGCTGCTGTGCGGTGAGCTGTGCTGTGCTGTGCCGTGTTGTGCTGTGCTGTGTTGTGCTGAGTTGAGCTGAGCTGAGCTGAGCTGTGTTCAGCTGTGCCGTGCTGAGCTGAGCTGAGCTGAGCTGTGCTGAGCAGTGCTGTGAGGAGGAGGGGAAGAGTGAGGTGTGAGAGAGAGAGAGAGAGAAAGAGAGAGACGGAGAGGGGGGTGAGACGCGGGTGCGGCGCGGCAGGGAAGAAAACCAGAACCCCACGAAGCATGTGGGGACTAACTTCTCTTTGTCGCACCCTGGGGCCAGTTTTTAGGGCGGGCCAGGCGTTTCGCGTGATATTGCCTGACCATTTATGACCCTGAAGTGTAACATTTGGCAACAGTTTCGCACATGGATGGCGGGTCGTGTTCCAAATGTGGCTCTCGCGCTAGTGCCGCGCACTCTCGTCTAAAACAACTGCGAGAATTTCACGGATTGAGGGTCAGCTGTTTTCAAAATGTTGTTGTCGCCTTAGCGCCGCTTGCAAGCTTGCAAGTGTTTCGCGGATGGAGGGCGGGTCGTTTTCAAAATGTGGCTCTCGCTTTAGCGCCGCGCACGCTCGTCTGAAACATTTGCCAGAGCTCCACGGATCGAGGGCGCCTCCTTCTCAAAATGTGGTTCTCGCCTTAGCGCCGCTAAGGGTTTCACGGGTTCTTATGGTCAGCATACAAGAGATTGTGTTTTGGACGGATAAAAGGCTTATGAGGGCGCAGAGGGTATGTTGATTCGCGGTGTTCATGTCCCAGGAACGGCGTTCTGGCGCGACGCAGGATCGTCAGGACGCAACAGTTAGGTTGATCGTTGGCACTGGAATCCCGAGAACATTATTTTGGCATGCTTCAGGGTCTTCAAACAGTTGTTTTCCAACGAGGCAGTTCCATCAGTGGGAATGAACCGTCGGAGGAGTCTTTGAGAAAAGGGAACATGGAGGCAGGGTTTATTCCAACATCGTTGATGATTCTTGGGTGTGCACTGGTCCTCCTCCTCCTCCTCCTCCTTCTCCTCCTCCTCCCCCTCCTCCTCCACCTCCTGCCAGGAACGCTGCCTCCGTGCGCGTCGCCCCGCGCCCGTCGCGCCGACGGCGCGCGGATGCGCGCCGCCCTTTCGGGCGCGGCGCCGGCGTGGGCCGCGGCGCTGGTGGCCCCCTCGCGGGAGTGGGGCTCCTCCGCCCCGTCGGCGTCGCTGTGGCGGTGGCCGCCGTCGCTGTGGTTGTTGACGCCGTCGTGTTCGTCTTCTTGTTCGTCGTCGTCGTCGTCGCCGTCGTCGATGTCGCCGTGGCGGTGGCCACCGTCCACGGCCCTCGCAGCGACGAAAGTAAATCGGCATGAACATAAACTTTTGGCGCTTGCGCATAATTCTTGGATCTGCGCTGGGCCCCGCAGGCGGCGCCACCGGCGCTGCCCCTGGCGCGCTCTGCGCGCCAGGGAGGGCGCCCATCGCAGATCCAAGAAATCCGCGTGGAACGTCCAAAATTGATGCTTATGATCTTCTAACGAGGCCGTCGAAGCGGAGGTCTCGTCGTGGTCCGTTGGCCGCCGGTCGCGGCAGTGGTCGTCGTCCTCGTCCAGGGTGGTCGTCGTCGTCGTCCTCGTCGTCGTCGTCGTCGTCGTCGTCCAGGGTGGTCCTCGTCATCGTCGTGCTCGTCGTGTTCGTTGTGTTCGTCGTCGTCGTCGTGTTCGTCGTGTTCGTCGTCGTCGTCGTCGTCGTCGTCGTCGTCGTCGTCGTCGTCGTCGTCGTCTATGGTCGTAGGCCATGGTCGTCGTCGTCGTCGTCGTCGTCGTCGCGCGTGGGCGCTTTCTTATCTACACGGTGCGCCGCGAAAGCCGCCCGCGTAAGCCACCGCGTGATGTCGCCGCCTTCCCGTGCGCAAGGCTCCTCTGTCTCTTCGCCGCCCGCCTGCCATGCTTCGTGCGGCCAAGGGGGCGGAACAGTTTTGATCCGCGGGTCGAGAGCGCACCTCTTCTGGTCGAAGCTTAAGCGGGCCGCGCGAAGCTTGGATTGGGCAGAGGAGGAGGGAGGAAGCGGCGGAGCCTCAGAGCGAGTCCGAGAGGAGGCATAGCCTCGGATACAGGCGGTGCCGAAGCCGAAGTGCTTGCAAATGGACGCCAGAGGGGACGGAACAGTTACCAATTGGGATTCAACCCCTCGGCGTTTTAAACTCAGCATCGGCGATGGCATATCCGTGGTTGGGATCCGGCCTGATCCGCTTGATCCGGCTCCGTCCGGTTGAATTCGGCTTAGTCAGCAGTTTCATCCGGCCTCACCTGGCGCAGTGGCTCCTTGATCGGGCTTTAAGCCCGATCAAGGAGCCACCAAAAACTTAGGACGTCCCCCCAGGAGTTCCTTCCCGAGAGCACGGGGAAGGAGGGAGGGAGGCGGGGAGGTGAGCGCGAGGGGAGGGGGTCGAAGCACGCGGCGGGATCAGGGCCTGGGCAGGTGAACGGCCTCCCAGTCCTTCCCTTTCTTTTTGTGGGACTTGCTGTGCGGGCCGGTCGGTGGATTCGTGCAAAAGGCTTGCGCCTGGCTTATCGTGGCTGGGGCGAAGGGGATCGACGGGACTGGGTGGAAGGCAGGGGCAGCGGTGCCTGACCTCCTCTGCCTCTCCTTGCCTCCCTCCCTTCCTCCCCTCTCCTCCTCCGCCTCCTCCTCCTTCTCCTTCCCCTCCCCCCTCCCTCACTCTCCCTCTTCTTCATCCTCCCTGCTCATCTCCTCTTCTTCCTCGCCCCTCGTCCTAGATACAGCCATAGCGCATCGCGAGTCCGACACGCTACAAGGGGGAGGGGGGGAGGCGGAGCCAAACGCCCAGCCCCTGACCCCGAACCCCGCGACACCCTAGAGCTAGGTGCCGCCTCCTCCTGGCGGGGCTCGAGGGGGGGAGAAGGAGGACGACGAGAGGAAGACCAAGTGAGGCGCCAGGCTCACCACGCAGCTCGTGATGAGCACCACCAGCCCGCCGAAAGCGGGCGGCCCCCACGCCTCCCCGGCTCTGCAGACACCTGGGGGCACAGGTTACCCCACGTCGCCGTGCGGGGCACACGGCGCGTGTCTCCGCGCACGGGTGACCGGGCCCTTCCCCGCAGACCCCCCTGGCCCAAGGGTGGCCAGGTGGGGCCAGAGGCGCAGGCGCAGGCCCGCCTCACAGCCCGTGCTCGGGAGCAGCCGGCGCGGTGTCACGAGCCAGGCACGCGGAAGCTGCTGGCGCGGCGCCTGGATTCCGAGGGGGCTACGTTTTCCCTCGACGTGGCGGCCGAGGCTCTGAGGGCGGAGGGCGGCTCGGGGAGGGGGGGCACGGACCCCGCGTGAGGTCTTCTCCCTCGCATCGGCCTTCCCTGCCTGCGCGGGAGCGGGCCGACGCCGGGCGCGCTTGGCGCTGGCCAGGTGCCTGCTGGCGCGCGGGGGGTCTCCCACCCGATTGCGGGTAGCGAGTTTTTTTTTGTTAGTTTGTGTGTTTTTGTGTTTGTGCTGTTTTTTTGTTTTTATTGTCGGGGCATTCCCTGTACAGTCCATGCAGCTTTCTCCTCCTCCTCCTTCCCCCCCTCCCTCACTCTCCCTCTTCCTCATCCTCCCTGCTCACATCCTTTTCTTCTTCGTCCTCGTCCTCGTCCTCTCCCTCGTCCTCCTCCTTCTCCTCCTCCTCCTCGTCCTCTTCCTCGTCCTCTTCCTCGTCCTCCTCCTCCTCCTCCTCCTCCTCCTCCTCCTCCTCCTCTAGTTTCGACAACGGGACCCTGGAGCGGGAGGGCGCCCTGGCGGTCCCGAGGGCGGCCAAGCTGGTGTCCAGCATCAGCACCACGGGAGGTGATCAATAGGGGGCCACATGCGAACCCTACCCCTACCCCCCACGACTTCTGAGGGGGAGGGTGGGGTTCGCAGGCGGCCCCCTAATCAAGCTGGACGGGCCGTTGGAGAAGTAGTTCGGCGCTGTCACGGACGCCGTCGGCTCCAGCAGCGAGGGCCTGCAAGAAACTTGCCCAAGTACTCACGCGGGCAAGTTTCTTGCAGGCCTCCTCGACTGCAGCATCAGACGCTTGCCCACGCTCTCGGGGGAGAGGATCACCGCAAGCATGCCCAGGGTCTGCAGGTTGTCCCCTACTGCGAGGACGCTCGTCTTTTCCAGGACAAGTGCGGACTACTACGGCGCTTTCCGTTCGCCCGACAGCTGTCCCATGTTGAATGAGGCGGCTCGCGACAAAAGGTGGTCCTTTGTCTGCTCCTGTTCTTCCTTCGATACCTCGGCCTCCACGGGCAATCCGCTGATGGCCACAACGGGCAGGAAAAGGGGGCAGCTCATCGAGGCTGTGGGGGCGAGTGCGCCACGTCAGACAGCGGCCGCAGAAGGCTTGATCGACCGGCCGACCATGACTGGCCACCAACAGGGCACCAGGCGAAACTTCGGTGGACCCGTCCAAAGGCCCAAACATGTGATGAGATGTTTTTTTTGGTCATTGCCCGGCCAGGAGTTCCCGACCCTTTGCCCGGGGCTCGTTTCCCCCTCTGGCTATATCTTCGGTAGCCCAAGGGCAGGAAGGCCGCATTCGAGAAAACACGCCCAGACTGGAAACGGTCAGATCGTCAGAGATCAGAAGATCGGTGGGATGCGACCAGGCGTTCCGCTTTCACGGCGGCAGCTGCGCCCCAAAGGGCCATCGCGCAGCGAGACTGGCCGCCGGGCCGTTCGCCGCGGCACCGGTTGGCCGCGAGGCTCAGGCGGCGCAGCGTCGGCGCTTCGGGCCGAACGACAGGGGCCCAGACCCCCGACGTCATGATTTTTCATGACGCGACCCCCAGAGGCCCGGACCCATTCCCCGGGACCGGCTTTTCATCTTGAGTCGTTTTTTGACGGTCCTGAGGGCCGGTAAGGGTCCCCAGAGGCTGAAAATAGCGAAAAACCTCGCGTCGTGATTTTTCCATGACTCGGGGGGGTCTGGGGGGGGGATGGGGAAAGGGGGGGGATAGCGAAAGGGAAAGCGAGCTGGTTCTCGAGCCCCCCACCCCTTTGCTACACCCCCCCCCTCTCTCGCCGGGCCCGAGTGCTCGACTCCGCGGGCGGTGGCCCCGCGCGTCTTTTTCGGGGGGCCTCGCTGGCGGGGCGCCCGCCGCGGGGCGCCCGCCGCGGGGCCCGCTGTGTGCGCCGGCCGCAGCGGTCGCCTCGCTCTCAGGGAGCATCACCGAGCGCGCTTCGCTGCTCGCAGGGTTCACCAGCCTCGAACTTAACCCTATCCCTAAGATTGACACGCCAAAGGGCGATGACAATCTTAGGGATGCGCCCTGAAAAACTAAGGGAATCCCTAAGATTGGCATTGTGATGAGGCGATGCCCAGCTTAGGGATAGGGATATGTTCCAGGCTGGTAAAGAGTGCCTACTCGCAAATGCTCGACAAAATCACACATGTCTGCTTCCATGTACTCTATCGTAGATCACCCGCGGCGGACCCAGGACAGTTGCGAGTAGCTACTCTGCGAGTTGTGGAACGCGCCTGTTGAGCAGGCGGGCCGCGCGGGGCTGGAAGAACACGCCTCGCGCTCAGTTTGTCGGCCTGGCGGGGGCCCCGAAGGGGGGGCGCGCCCGCGGGGTTTAGTCCCGAACCTCCGCCGATCGGCGGGCGCCCCCCCAACCCCGACGGCCCCAGTCCGTTCGCGGATTCCCTCCCTCCCGCCGCGGGCGGGGGGGGTGCCAGCGCCCCAGAAAGGGAGCCAGTTGGCTTGGGGCCGGAGCGCGGTTTGCATTGATTTTCCATTGTTTTGTGGGGGATTTTTGAGTTTTCCATTTGGTAGTGGGGGATTTTTGAGTTCTCCCCTTTTCGGCTTCCCGACGCTCCAAGACGACTCACGAGGCCCCCAAGATCGCCTTAAGATTGCCCGACAGACTTCCAAGAGGGCCCCAAGCTGGCCCAAGAGGGCCCCGAGACAGTCCCGAAAAGACGTCCCGAGAGGCTTCCCAGAGCAGTCCCGAGAGGGCCCCACGAGGCAAAATTCATTGAATTTCCGTTGGTTTGCGGGGGGATTTTTGAGTTCTCCCTTTTTCAGCTTCCAAGACGGCCTACGAGGCCCCCAATATCGCCCTGAGACGGCCCGACAGACCTCCAAGAGGGCTCCAAATTGGCCCAAGAGGGCCCCCAGACAGTCCCGACAGGGCCCCAGGATGCCCCAGGAGGCCCCCAAGAGCCCCGAAGAGGCCCTACGGGACCCCCAAGAGGGCATCAGGAACCCCCAAGATGTCCCCAAGAGTCCCAAAAGATCTTGCAAACCATGTGCACCACAGCGCGCGTACTCCACAGCGTCTGCGTACCCGCAGCAACCATGTGCAACACCGTGCCTGTGTACACCACAATGTTTGCGTGCACCGCATCGCCTGTGAACACAACATCGCCTGTCTACAGCACAGCATCCGCGTGCAACGCAGCGCTGGTGTACACCACACCGCCTACGTGCATACGTGCACAGGACAGAAGGAGCATGTAAGTGAGGATCTGCTGCGGACAGCTAAACACTACGCAAGGGAAATGCTGATAATGGAATGAGGCATTTTTTTCTCCTCCGTCCTCTTCTACATCCACCTCCACCTCCACTTGCCACTCCCCCTCCTTCCCCCCCTCCTCTTCTTCCTCCTCCTCTTCCTCTTCCTCCTCCTCCTCCTCTTACCTCACCATTATCCCTTTGTCGTGCGGGTCGGCGCTATAGCGCACGTGCGCATCTCATCGCACACCGCACTATGGTGTATTGAATCAGTCCACTTGGTTCTCAGATGACCAATTCTGCTGGAGCCTCATGGACGCATATGAGAGGAGTTAGGATGATGCAAGAGGGCTAGATTCAAGCGGCGCTCCTTTTTCCAGAACGACTCATTTTCAAATCCTATTTAATTGTTTTTTCTGTGGAGTCCACAGGCGGTCCATTTTGTCGTAAGAATTTTTTAATTCAAAATGAAAAAGTTGTGCTCTATTGCAAACGGTTGCTGTGGTGCACACAGGCGCCGTGGTGTACACAGGCGGTGTAGTGCATGCAGGCATTGTGGTGTACACTGACTGGAGCTGTGTTGCACGCAGCTGGTGTGGTGTACGCAGGCGCTGTGGTGTACACAAGCGCTGTGGTGCCCGCAGGCTCTGTGGCAAACGCAGGCGCTGTGTTGCACGCGGCCGCTGTGGTGTACATAGGCTGTGCGGTGTACACAGGCGCTGTGGTACACGCAGGCACGGTGATGTACACAGGCGCTGTGGTGCGGATCACCACCTACATGCTGCTGCTGACCGTCCTGGGTCATCCCTGGACATTCCCAGACGCAGTCGGCGCGTCACGTGACGTCCTCGGCCCCGACCCCCCCAGATGATGGCCGTCATCGGCCCGGAAAAACAAAAACGGCTCCACCCGCGTCCGCGCGCACGACGACGATGAGCGACGAGCGACGACGACGACGACGACGGCGACGACGGCGACGACCGCGGACCAGACCCCTTATGCGGATTCCTATGCGGACGCCTATGCGGATCTCGATGCGCACGGCGGCAGTGCCCGTGGCGCACTGGGGGGGGGGGGCGTTACGTTAGTTATGGGGGGGGGCGGGGGCTCTTGGGAGGCCTCGCGGTCAGAGTGTTGACGCCACGTGGACCTCGTTGGAGCTTCCCGGAGCCTTCTGACAGCCTCTGTGGGACGTGGTGCAGTCCCGTTGAGGCTTCGGCCCGCCTTGGGGCGCGCAAGCATTGTGGTGTACACAAGCGCTGGGTTGCACACGGCTGCTGCGGTGTACGCAGACGCTGTGGCGTACGCGCGCTGTGGTGCACGCGAGCGCTGTGGTGTACACAGGCGTTGTGGGGCAGATCGCCACCGACATGCTGCTCCTACTTGGCCTTGGTTATCCCCAGGCATTCTCGGACGCCGCTGTCGCGGAACGTGGCGTCATTTGGGAAAAGGGGGGCGGGGCCGCTGTGCCGGCCGTGTGAGGAACCTGGGATAGCGGCCGATGACGGCCGCTATCCCAGGTTCCTGTGGTGCCAAAGCCAAACGGCGGAGGGAAGGGGGCGTTACGGTATACCCCCCGGCCGCCCCTCCTAACGCCAGTCATCGCCGAAAAGAAAGAAACGCTCCCCAAGAACGTACGGTGGTGCAACGCAACTTCGGCGTCGGCCCCGCGGCGACACCGATGCCCCCCAAGGTCCTCACACGGCTCCTTCCATAGTCCCAAAGACACGGCAATTTGCAAATCCAGGTCGCGGTTTCAAATTTTGCCGTGTCCTCCATGCCGTCTCCTACCCAAGTCTTTCGGCACTCGCGGGCCTTTCGCTGCATTTCTGCCCCCCCCCCCAGGTGTCCACGACCGCGTGCATATGTGTATATATGTATGTATGTATGTATGTATGTATGTATGTATGTGTGTATGTATGTGTGTATATATAACTATATATATAGGCGCGCTATGTGCAAACGTATATTTGCCCAACTATTCAGCAAACGGTGTATGCGCCAACACGGATTAGTATTTATGTAATTACTCATTTAGTTGTATATATATGTAAATATATACATATATGCAAATGCATACACATATGTACATATTTCACATCTACATATACACATGTAAGTACATCACATACATGTATATGCAAGTGCACAAATATACCCACACACATTTATATTCATGCACGTATATATAATCACACACTTCCCCGTCTATATCTGTATGGCGTGCATGCGCGTCCGCGCGCATGACATGTACGCACATATCGGCGCGCGCTTGTGCACGCGCATGCACGCCGCCCGCGTGAGAATTCACACACGCACACGCGTATGTATTTATATATATATATATATATCTGTATATGTATATGTGTATATATATGTATATATATGTATGTATATGTGTATGTATGAACACACACATATATATACATATCTCCATTTTTTACACATTTACATACACACGTATACATACATATGTATGTATGTATTCATGTACGTATGTATGTATGCATGTATGCATGTATGTATGTGTATATATATGAGTATATATATGTATATGTATATGTATGTATATATATATAAAAACATATGTAAAGCTCATACGAAACAGCTTCAAACGCCCCGCCCGCCCCGCCGCCGCCAGGCGGCATGCGTGCTCGCCGCCCTCGGCCGCGCCGGTCTGCTGCCCGCCCCGCCGTCGACAGCCCCGGCGGCGGCTGGCGGCGCCGCGGCCCGCACGGCGCAGGAGGATGGGCCAGGGCCTCGGGAGCGGAAGTCATCCTGCAAGGGGGGGTGGGGGTGTTAAGGCCCAGTGAAGCGACCCCCCCCCCCCCTTTAAGTTTCGTTCAGTGCGTCGCCCGAGCGTCGCCCGTGCGCCGGCCCTGGTTTGCGTCTCTGTCCCGAATCCCGGCCTCCCAGAGTGCGTGGGCGACATATGGCGCGACTTCGGAATTTCTCTGGCGATATATAGGTTTCCGACGCCGGTGCACCAGCAACCATTTTGGCGGTCGCGGCGCTTTCCTAGTTCGACGGTCCACCAACGCGTTCTGTTCCCAATTCGGCGCAAGAGGATTTGCTGGTGCTCATTGTCGGGGGCGCCAACCGTTGCTGAGGACGAAGACGCCTCGCGTTGATTGGGGGCTGTGCGTGTCGCGCCACGGTGGGGGTGACGTCACGTCGCGCGACGCGGCGCCACTTCGCCCCGTCGCATCGCGCCCCGCACCCCTGTCGTTTCGCGCCAATCCTCCTGCCCCCCCCCTTCTTCCTTCCTCTTCCCCTCGTCCAACGCGCTGCGCGTTTTGCCCCGTTTGCGAAATTTGTATTCAGTTCTTTTGTGTCAGGCTGCCGTTCTGTCCGCCTCCCTACTCACCCCCTGTTGTCCTTCCACCCTCCTGGAACTTCTTCTCGCCCTCCTCGCTCCCGCCGCCCCCCTTCGATCGCCTTCCATCGCTCCCGCCGCCGCTGCGCCGCCCTCGCGCGCCCCCCCTCGCCCGTCTGTTCCCATTCCCGCCCGCCCTTCCCTCGCCTCACTTCCAGCCTCTTTTTCCCCCCCAATGCATCGGCGGGCGAGACGTCGCCGAATTGCTGCAGCGACGGACCGATGTTCAAAATCTGACGGGGCGCGCGCTTGACATGGATTAGTCCGTGCGCGCTGCATCTCCATGTCGTCTATTGGTCTCCTCGCGTTCGTACTTCTCACGTGCGTGTCTCGCTATTTCTACGATTGCCGCGCGCATCCCTCGATTGTTTCGCCAACGGGCCGTGCAGTTCACATGCCGTCAGGAGTCCACGGCGCCTTTCGAGCGATTCGCGCGCGACCTGCGCGCGACGCGCGGACGACCCGAGCGACGCCCGCGCGACGCACGCGCGACGCGCGCGCGACGCACCCCGACCCGCGCGCGACGCGCCCCTGCCAGCGCGCGACGCACGATCGACCCGCGCGACGCACGCGCGACGCACGCGCCACGCGCGCGACGCACGCGCGACGCATGCGCGACGCACGCGCGACGCACGCGCGACGCACGCGCGACGCACGCGCGACTCACGCGCGACGCACGCGCGACTTTGCCCGCCCCTAGCATTTCTCCGAGCAGCAATGCGCAACGGCCGTTGGCCCGCCGTGCTTGCGCTGTTCACAAGTGGCGGCGGCTGCGTCCTCCATTGCGCCAGGAAGGGCGGTGCTTGCCGTTGTTATTTCCCTTTTCCTTCCTCGTCGTCCCTCCTCTTTTGTCAGTCCTCCTCCTTCGTCCTCTCTCCTGCCTCGTCTCCCTCTCTCCTCCCCTTCTCCTACTCCGTTCTACCGGCCTCCCTCTGTCTGTCCCCCCCCCTCCTCTCTCGTCTTTGTTTTTTTCCCTTGCCACCCCGTGTCCCTCTTCATGTTCTTTTCTCCTTCGGCCCCCCTTCCACGGCCGCGGCGCGTCGCCGCGAGCGGCGCCCCCGCCTTCCGCGAACGGCCCCGCCGCCGGCGGTGGAAGAGGAAGATTCCGAGGGGCAAAGGAGGGGGGAGGGGCAGGGGCGCGAGGCGGGCGCGGCGGCAAGGGCGGCCCGGCAGGGGAATGGGGGGGAGGGGGAGGAGGACGGAGTGGGCGGGTGCTTCTGTAATGGTCATGTTGGTGATCATGGTCGTGGTCGCGTTCGTCGCCTTGGCCGCGTTGGCGGCGGTCGTGCCGCTGGTGGTGGGCGGGCTAGTTGTGGTCACGTCGGTGATCGTGCTGGTGTCGGTCGTTGTTGTGGTCGCGAGAAGCGTGGTGGTCGTGGTGGTGGTGATGGCGGTAATTGGTGTTAGTCGTAATCGTCGCGGTGGATGTGGTTGCGGTCGCATCCGTTTGTGGTGATCGTGGCGGCGATAGTTTTGGCGCTGGCGGCGGCTGCGGCGGCTGTGGCGGCGGCTGCGGGGACCTGCTGGCCTATCGGCGGGCTGCGTTCAGCAACATCGCTGCGTTTACAATGTTAGGGGGATTTGCTGATCTGCCGAGGTGGCCCAGCGGCCGCCTTCTTCTCGCCAAGAGGGCCGCAGCGTGGGCGACTTTCTTTTTCCCGAAGGCGACCAGCCTTTTCAGCGGCCGTGGAGAGGGCGACGCGCGTGCGATCCGCCCCGTGGGTGTCCGCCGCGCTCGCGACGCACTCACCAAATTGCCCCCTTGCGAGGGCGACGTGCGCGTTCGAGAGGACGGCTGGCCTTTTTGGCGGCCGACGCGCGGGCGGCGCACGGGCGACGAATGCGCGACGCACCTCCTGTCGCGAAGGGGGGGGGGTCAGCACGCCGGTCGCTTTACTGGGCCTTAACAGGTGGGGGTGCCGGGGTGCTCAGGGGCGGGGGGGATGCATCAACTTCCACTCTCCAATCGCCCATGGGTCGCAAACAGTGGCCGGTGGGCCCAGCTCGCCCAGGAACGTGGGGAGTCGCCAGCCGGGGCCTATCGCCGATTTGTCGGCGAGGTATCGCCGGTTCCAGCCCGACGTTCCCTCGCCCGGAGCCGGCCCCCCCCCCTTCAATTGGAGGGTAAAAGGGGGGGTGTGCAACAGGGGGTCTTCAATGGGGGTTGAATGGCCCATGTATGCTCAATGTGTCGCTCATATATGTGATCGGGAACGATTGGCGTCCAATGTTGGCGGTCATGGAAGGCCAGTCCTTCGTGCCCGCGCGTTGCCCGCGCGGGCGCACGCGCCGTCCATTCATTATCGTTCATGCGTGCGGGCGTTCTTGCATTCTGCGCGTGGGGCTGCGAAGTGGAGTGCAAGTGTGTCTAGATTGTGCGATTGATGATCGCGTATGTTCCCAAACGATGAACTATCGACCCCCAAGACAGATTAGGAATGGGCCCCGCGATTCTCCCAATGTGAATTCACATGATGTTTTTTCCCACAGTGTGAATTCATATTTTGCTCTTGCCTTCAAGATCCCCCAAACTGAGGCGCAGTGTTCCGCATATCAGATTGGCTGGGCACATCGACACTCACCTCACCGCTTCCGTTTATTTCAGCCCTGTCTTTTTTGCCCCCTCAGCTCACGTTGCTTTCGTCGCCTTCCCGAGCCCCCCGCCCCCTTGCTTCGTTTCCCCGCAAGTCTCGCGCATGGGTGCTGGCGAGGAGCTTGAATTGGCACCCCCGCCGAACACAGCAATCGAGGATGCATCGCCCATTCATGGCCATTCATGGCCCATAATGACACCATTGCCGGGGCCCTGCGCCCGAACCCTACTTTCACCGAACATTTAAAGCAGCGGCCAAGCGTCCTAGTTTGTGCTCGTTTTTTTATTCTTTGTTTTGCCGATCGGCGCGGGCTCTCCCCCCCCCCCCTCCCCCCCCCGTGGAGTAGATCGTGGCTGTTTTTTGGCGCCTGTGTCGAGCGGGTGGATTCTTTCCCCCATGGGACACAGCGTTGCAGAGGTCCGGAGCCAGACCGCCCCCCCTCCCCCCCCTTCCGCCCAATGTCGAAACGCCGAATAAAACAAACAACTCAATTTGCCTCCAGGCCTACCCAGCAAATGTTTTAAACACCTTTGTGGTCTTCGCGAAATGTTCTTAGAACGTTTCTGGTTGAGGCTGTCTTGTTTCAATACATCGGGTGCACGTTCTACGAATATTGTTTTTGTTTTGAAGCATGTCGTGGTAGGCCTATAGGAATCCGGGGCGGTCGGTCCCTGCTCAATCCCTATCGTTGCGCTTCAGGCAAGAAGATGCACTTGCTGATGATGTTCTATAAACTGGAGTAGTGGATCTGGCGTAGATGGGTCGGCGGTGAGAAGATTCTATGCTGGTGTTTGGCTTCGATTTGCGATCGCTTGCGGGCCAGCATCGTCGAGGAGTCCAGCACCGTTTCTCTCTGGCGGCGCAGACCGTAAAATTTTCTCCGGCACACCGCCAGCAGCACGGACCCACAGTGGGCGAGGCTATTCAGGCCGCGTGTCCCCTGGCACAGAACCTCTCTGCGAATACGCCTTGTGAAAAGGTCATCGAGGGTGTTGTCATCGCTGCAAAACAGGTGCGATCGTTCATTGTGTGTGCGCTATTGCGTGCAATTGTGTGCAACAATTGCGGAGGGACACGAATGTCTGCACGGTCACTAGCCATTGCATGTGAGAAACGATGCGTAGCTGCATCCACGCGCAACTACTCGATGCAGCGCGCAAACGATTGCATCCAGGTAGTTGCCAACTGTTGCAAGTACTATTGCACCTCTCCCTGCGGACCCGCCTGTGCCAGACCCGCTGCTCTAGTTTGACTCTTCGTTGGTTGCGAGAGCAGGCGTTGCGAGAACGTTCGTAACGCGAGGCTGGCCCCGCCGGCTCGGGGGGGCGTGTTCACGTACGTGACTGGGCGCGTACGTCTTGGTGAGCTCCCTAGAGGGCGAGGGCGAGGGCGAGGACAACGAGGGCGGCGACGACGAGGAGGACGAGGGGGGGCGAGGGCGACGGCGACGGCGATGGCGACGATGAGTGCGAGGGCGATGGCAACGACGGCGACGAGTGCGAGTGCGAGGGCGATCGACGACGAGAGTTTGGCATAAACGTGCAATTTCAGAGGTTCGCACGGGCCTCAAGTTTTTTGGTTTGCCGTCTGCTGTTCCTCTTCTCATGAGGACGAGGGCGAGGGCGATGGCGAGGGCAATAGTGATGACGACGAGGGCGAGAACGAGTGCGAGAACGAGCACGATGTGGAGGTCGAGGATCGAAGTTTGATTCTTAGGCTTACGCCACACCGCCGACCCCTTGTTTATGCCAATCGGGGGGCAGTAGAAGCTGCGAA